TTTTGTTTTGTTTTGTTTTTTTCATTAGTGATTAAAATTCTGAGTTGCTTTACTCCTTTAAGATGATGTGAGACTGCATTCCTGACGGAGCAGAGCAAAGATTTGATTGGCTGAAACCTGTGAATGGCGAAYGTTCATGATTAACATTCAAGTCACAACACTGCAGTTTTCATTCAGTCCTCACTTTTCCCTCGACTGCGGTTTCCGCCRGACTCTGCCACGGGAGGGCGCTCCCATCTTACTGCGCAGCAAACCTCCACATGTGGACTTATACTGTATCATGAGGCACAATGTTAACCAAAATATCTAAAAAAGAAAGAAATGCATGATATACACGCACAAGGATATCTGTCTGACTCTGCACCAAAGGGTCACTTCAGAAGTCTGCGTATCTATTTCTATCAGTGACACAATAAATAAGTGGAATAAATAAAATACATTCAGTTTAGCTTAAACTCTTACAATACCTGTTAAGTGTGAGAGCAAAATTCCACACAAAGTGTTGCAGTACTTCGTTTGAAGCAGGAATTACAGTTTTAAATAGCAGCGAGAAATCCTAATGCSTATAAGTCCTCATCCACTGAGCTAACTGAACACATAAACTCTGGCACAAAACATAAACTAGGATGAGCAATAAAAAGTAACACATTCCAAATGACTGATGCATTAAAGGGATAGTTCAGACTTTTTTGAAGTGGGGTTCTATGAAAAGGTTATAAACATTAAAATGACTTACTTGTTGTAGACAGATCTAATGAACAAGTTTGAAAAAATAGTTTACTTTGACCTGATTGAGGGGCCATGACCAAAGTGGCTGGTGCCATCTTAAAACAGCTCCAGTCCTAAAAATATCTAAGTGGTTCGTGTGATTATTTTATAACCTTTTACAGTGCTGAAAATAGCCTTGCAGGAAGTGACCACAGACTGCATTGGAAGTGTTACAACTACAATCTACTTTGGTCTTTTCCAGCCTAGCAATTAGCTCAGCAATCTGGTCAGAATTCAACAATTTCTTCAAACTGAAGACGTTCAAAACAACGATCTACATCAGGCAGGAAAGGAAGCGCTCACAGCATTTCCACGGAACCCCCACTTCAAAAGACCTGATTTATCGCTTTAACAAAAGACTGCGAGAGAAATTAAGTTGCTGTTAGCCTCCACAACTCCGTGATCACAAACGCGACCGACGTAACCTCCCAATGAGGCCAAATTCTACAAACAGTTTTTGCTTTCTTCCTTCTCGTCTTCATGTCTTCACAACACAAAAGCTTCACTGCAGCAAACAAAGACGCAGACACAGGCAAATGCTCATTCGTAGCTTCGTGGATCGCTGAGGCTSTCCAGGTAAAAGCTGGCCTAAATCTATGCACAGTGCTTTGTTGTAACCTCAACCACGATAGATAATTAAAACACTATCCTAACCTGACTATGGTGTGGTCACGCACCTCACAATACCATCTCCTTTCGTACCTGACTTGTCCCAAATAATAATAATAATAATAATAATAATAATAATAACGCACAGATAATATTTGCAGCACATATCTATCCATGTATCAAGAGTATAGTCAAACTAGACAACAACTATCATGCCACGTCTATGTTCATTTGACAGCCACTTTTGTTATGTGTTTGGATAGTTATATTCTCATTTCGTTTGATTGTCTATAAACTAAATGTCCTAGAGAGAGGCACCAGACAGTAATGAAGGACAKTAAAACAAAGCAGTACACAAATAAACGTCTCTCGATATAAATATAAACTCTAGAGTTGTCCAGTGACTATGACAGTTGGTCAGTGATTGACTGATCGATGCAAGCAAATACAAAAAAGAAAAAAAAAACAACACGATCCTGGAGCGAATGATTTGTTCTGATCCAGGATCAGCTTTTGTCCTCCCAATCTTTTTTTTTATTATTTTTATTTTTTGTATTCTTCCAACACGGCAGGAGAGGAATCACTTACCTCGGTTCAGCGCCTAAAAGCATCTATGTCTGTCTATAAAATACGCAAAAAAGAGAGAAGGCACAGAAACACAAACCCACTGTGTTTGGTGAGGTGGACAGACAGCAGCAGCTCTTTGTTGTTGTTTTTTGGAGGCAGACTGGTTGAAGCTGCTGGTCTGCTTGCAGCGTACAGAGCCTGACTGCTGAGGTCTAAATATATACTGGCTGCCTCATTTTCAGGGAGTTTGTTTTGGACCTCTACTTGGACGCAACTGAGTTGTTAGTCATTCTACTTCTGGTCTAGCTATAGACATAACCACAGGTTTTCTTGTCAGTCAGTAGCGTCTGTGTCCCATTCAGTGGCTAGTGAAGCCAGATGATATGGCTCATTCATGTTCTTGAATCCATCTCTGTGAACAAAACAGGCTTTGTCTTTTGATCCAGTGCAGAACTACTCTCAAAAGATCTGAGCTGCTTTCCATCATTTCGTCTTTCAGATTCAAATGAATGGGGAAGCCACGTTATGCTACTAATGCGAAGCTCTTTTTTTTAAATACAACTCTTATTTCACCACTCCGGTTTGCCCCTGTGTTGTTTGATTTGCTGTCTTTGATTGCACAGGGGCTCTCTTTCCCTCCGACAGCTTGACCACAGTGTTGTTTGCCGCCGCTCTTTCTTCTAGCTTGTTTTCCTGCTTCGCTGTGTCCCTGACGTTGCTGGTGCTGCGTGGGTGGACAGGCGTCGATTTCACAGCGACGGGCACTCTGCCCTGGTTTAGACGGGGGTCTTCTCCTATGTCGACGGTCAGGTTGGTGTAGAGTGGCTCCAGCTCTTTGGAAAGCAGCTCATAGTTCAGAGAACTGAGGCCATCGGAGTGCCAGTTGAGTCTGGTTCTTTTGAGAAGGTCAAATCTTTAAAAAAACAAACATCATAATCATGTAAATGTGTTTTCCACTAGAACTTTGCAGATATAGTGCAATATTTAAAAATTCTATATCAATCTCCAGTTTTCTTTTTGCTTGAAAGTGAGTAGACATCATTTCCTAAATGTCACGGGTTTTTTTTTTTTTCTTTCTTGAACAAAAACAAGCCTTTTCATAAAAGTTAATCAACTCCTGAAGGTTTTTGAGAACAAGGTTCTGAAAGGTTGTTCTCAAAAGCCTGCAAGGCTTTTAAATAAAAGCTGAAAAAATAAGAGAATAGTGCCGATAGGCAGAATTGTTTGTTGGTTCAAGGATACAGCTGCTTGTGTGTGCCAAAGTTTTAAAGGGGCAATATTATTTGTTTCTCAGGCATATATTTGAATACTATACCATAATAAAGTATCTATGTCACCTTTAGT